AGGCACGTTTTATTATGGATGGATGCGCTTTATTGGACTTCTTTTGGACTATTAAAAAAAAAAACACCCACTCACTGCCATTATAAAGCTTGGAAGAGCCAGAACAAAAACATTTGTTTTTTCTATAATTCTGATTGGATTTGCTTGAAAGTAGAAAGTCATATACACCTAGGATGGCTTGAGGGTAAGTAAATCATGGGGACATTTTAATTTTTGGGTGAACTATCCCTTTAATTATTTTTGTAACTTTAACTATGATTAAAAGTGGATGCAGCCTGGGTGGTCATAACAATAACAGGACATGACTAATTAGCAGTAAACACATTTTAAATAGTAAATTTTACTTGATTTTGTGTAGCATATTTGTCATATTAACACTAACCTTTTATGATGTTGTTGGGCTAGAAAACATTAGTAAAATCTATGCAGTTCCTAGTCTGAGCTCCTAATCAGCTCCCATCTGAGGTTAGTGTAAATGCTAATTAGAAATCTAATAACTACAGTCAGTTGAAATGTAACATTTTAAATGCCGTAACTTTATGTCGGGCACTTAAAATGAATGAATTTTAAAAACAGAAGCATTCAAAATGTCTTATGTCATGCACTTTGGTACAGGCCAGACTGGCAACACACCAAAGTTGATTAAAATCAATGCCGAAAAACTGTTAAAAGATGCTTGTGAATGTTTGGTTGAGCCACCATCCTAGACTTATGCTAGTTTGTTTACCTCAGTCATCAGTTATGTCTTATATCTGCCGCTTGAACAAACAATGAATGTAATTTGGGCATGTTTCTGGTTTTCCCAAAAATCTGTGGTTTCCTGTATCACATCAATCAGCTCATAAACAATAACCCAGCTACATTGTGAAATCAAATTCTTGTTTGCTCAAAATTTGGCACATGAATACCACACTTGAACTATTTACAGATTGTTTGGTTCGCAAACCCAGCAGTTCAATTGCTTCATGTGAGTTGTTTTTTCCTGTAGAAAGTTGGCAGTTCGTGACTGAATGTGGCGTTTCCACGCAATATTTATCCTTGGAGTCGTGCAACTTCTTTTAACCTTCTCTGACCCTGAAAATCAATTACCTTCTTCAACCTGGTGTGGGAAATTCTTTACTTCACACACATATGTGGGGTCAGTACACTCTAAAAAAATTAATTTACGGTAAAAAACCGGCTGCTGTGGTTGCCGGAATTTTACCGTAAAAAATATGGTAGCAACGTTTTAGGTATGGTTTTAACTTAAATTTACAGTTAAATACCGTAATTTCATTAACTGATATAATGGTAATATACCAACCTATTGAAGTACTGAAATCTGTTTTGTACCTTTGTAATACACTGATAACCACCAAATGCAGGTATTGATGAGAAAGTCACATGATGAACCAAAGCCCATCACAAGCAGCTTTTACATAATAACATTTATAGAAGGTGCACAGTGTCATTCACACAAACACTAAACACCATCATGGTAACACACATGAAACTGAAATAATGCAATAAACATTCATTTAACAACATTAGGTGTAACACACAACCCTAATATACAAAACTGATAAGAAAAAACTAAGAAGGAACATAGTTATTTCAACAAAACAACATCAAATTTGAAATGTAACGCAGGGAATTCTGGGAATGTCAATTTATGGTTATTCACTGTAAATTATACGGCATTTTTCACTTCCAAAAACGGTATACTACCGTAAAATTTATGTCCAATACATGTAATGTCCAATACAGTTTTTTACCGTATAAAGTAGGGGAATTTACCGTTAACCATTTAACAGGTTTTTACTGTAGCATTTTTACAGTCTTTTACCGTTAAATTCACGGTCATTTTTTACAGTGTAGGTTTATTGTGCCACCCTTTTAACAAGGTTTAGAAAAGGCTCCCCGGTTTACTGCATTGCTACATTTTAAGCATTTTGATTGTAGTATTTTTGGTAGTCAAGTTGGTAGTCAGTACTTAAAAATGCATCAATCCTGTTGAAGTCGGCATGAAATGGAAA